CACACACAGTGGCTGCTACTAGTTTATAGCCAACTGAGCTAGCTGCTCTCACTACATGACTCTAAACATCTAGCTGAAATCAATCCTAAAAAAAATAATGTAATAAACGTTACTTAGGTATATGCCAATTTACAAAGGAAGGTTTCTGAATAAAGAAGGATTACATTATTATATACTAAACGAGTTTGCCGTTCCATCCTTGGGGGACAGTATACGACTTATGATTGTGCGCTCAAATACCTGGAGCTTGAATCTCTCAGTGAACGTCGGAAGTCATTGTGTAAGGCACTTGCTATGAAAGCCAGTAAGAATGATATTTTCAGCAACTGGTTTCCACGGCCAACCTCTACTCACGCCATGCGACTTAGAAGGGAGAACAGATATGGACATCATTGTAACACAGTAATCAATAATATTTTTCATTGAGACATATACTGTCCTTCTATCAAACCTGCTAGTTTATTAGGTACAGTTATTATATTTTTGTATTTGACTTGGGTTTTTTTTTATATTTTTTGTATTTGAATGGGGTTTAATCTATTCTTGTATTTGACTTGGGTTTGTATTTTTGAATTGATGTTTCTCATTGGTTGTTTGTGAAGAGTATCCCCAATTCAGCTTTTAGTTGCTAAGGAACTCTATTTTGCCAACTAGATTCTATATACAGGTACAAAATACAACGATCAACTCCATCTCCGTTTCGAATAGAGCATTTTGATATACTTCTCAAAGTGATTTTCAAGTGTTTAAAATAAACAAAAGTAATGAAATGAAATAGTCTTAACTGAATGTATTTTAAGTCAATGTTGTCGTTTAAAATCATTAAAGATTGCCAGCTAACAAACATATGAATTACATACTGAAAACAAACCGAATGCATTCCGTACAAATCGCCCTAACCGAGAATGATGTTAATATTTCATGCTGACCAATGAAACGTTGAAAAGACCAGGTTGTATATTTTCAGAATTTTTCTTTTCTAAAATGCTAAAAATGGGCGGAATTATACATGATCTTAGTCAGAAATGGCCAGCCTCGGTAACCAATTTTAGCAGGAACCCCGCTGTCATCAATGGATGTAAATATTTGAAATTTGTTTTAATATTCTCCGGGGCACACAATGTGAGCATCGCCTTCACTACATCACCTAGATTATGCCTATCATTTTCGTCAATTAAGTCGACCTATTTAACTAATGTTCAATCAATGATTTTCAATAGCATAATTAGTTAGACTTAATTATTAAATATTTCGTCATTTTCGTACTCTGCAATAGCCCACCATCTCAAAGTCTTCCAAGTACGTATCCAAGCTAGCGCTCTGAAAAGTTTGTAAACGCTTCAAACTATTGGCGGCTGTCTTGATTATAAAGATATAGCGCCGTCGGGCGGATGGGGTAAATTGCTCTCCGTTCTCCCACAATGCATTTCACCGGATGTTTCACCATATCGCGAAACTGCTATATATTTTGCTATTAAATTTATTATCTTTGAGTTTACGTCATTTGCTTCTAATTAGAAAGCCTACGTTATCAGAAAAACAACAGAATGCCGAAAGCAAACGACATTGACGAAAATCCAAAGGCAGTACATGTTATTAGTGTGCACGCTTCATTCTATTAGAACCATTAAAAATATTCGATACTATAATTCAGCCCTCTCAGGAAACAGGATTTTTTTAAAGAGTGGTCGAATTAAAAAAATGATTTCCTCTAAATTTAAAGTGTAGTGCACAAAATTCTAAAGGGTGGATATAAGCGTTGCCATTTTGGTACATATTTATGCTTCGACGCGATGCAGCGTCGCCCATGTCGCACATTTTGAATTTCATTTACTCATACCTTAAATTTAATTTAAATGCAAATAATATCAATACTGGGGGAAATCTTCGGCTCCTTCGAAAAATTTCGTTTTCTGGATGCTTTGAAATGCACTTTCGCGTATTATGAGTCGTCTATTATTGAATACACTGTCAAATCATAGCTTTTCCCTGCTTTACAATGGACAATTAATTATGATGATGAAGAAGATGATGATGAAGAGGAGAAAGCCAAGTGATGACATGCTCCTGTGCAAGATTAATTAACAGCACCTTTGATGTGAAGTGTCAAGCGAGGCCAGTAGCCTGAGTTACGGTTGGAAATTTGGCGACATTATCGTCGTCGTCAAATGTTCAATACACATATTCGGACAACAGTTACCGTATATGATTTATGTTATTCTCCTTTGTATACAAAGTAATATGAAACCCATAAAATATCAGTTCAGGCATTCATTTGTCTGTCTGTGATATCAAATATAACAAATGAATACAAAATATAAAGAATACAAATAACATAAAAACATGTTAAAAAACACCTACACTAAATAAAAATGGAATATTCACTTCCTGTTGGATTGCAGTTTTAAGTGTTACAGGCTTTACAGTATAACTAATCCAAATATTTCTGATAGATTACTGATTAAAATGAAAAATATTTAAAATTTTATATTCAGTACATTATTAAATGTCATGTAAATCTTCCCAAAAATTGCGTGCACCTAAGTGGAGAGTTTAACCTAAGCATTTTAAAATGTTTTATGTTGTCTGTTGAATGGTCTTTTATGATATTACAGTCTAATATGTCCGCAACAAGGAAGTCCTCTATTTTAACTTTTAAACTTCTAAACTTTGCGTAGCTCAATATACATTTATATTTTTTTAAATCATAAGGAAGTCTAATCGTCAAATCAGCATAGGTAGTACAGAGAATTTTGATTGACTGTCAATCTCAGATATCCAAATTTTAGGAAATTATGTTTTATGCATGCACCGACGTGAGAACTTTGACCTAATAACTTTGATATGTGTATGTTTTATGTTGTTTGTTGAATGGAATTCTTTAATAATAATATTACAGGCAGTCTAATATGACCACAGCATAAGGAAGTCCACTCTGTAAATGTTTAGCATTTTGATTATTTATCAATATCATTATACACGTGTTAGATCAAAAATTTTAAAATATTACGTTTTATTCACATACTAATTTTCTACATGTTTTATGTTATGTGTTGATTGGTCTTAGCTAATAATACTACAGTTAAACATTCATATTATAACAACTTGGTCATAATATATTTTTTCTTAAAGGAAGCAGAATACAAGTCTTTCAACAATAGTTCTTGTTTCTAGAAGAAACAAGAACTGAAAATGAAAATGATTTTATAATATCAAGAAGAAAATTATAATGAGCCATTGTATTTGCACCATTTTCTTCTCAGGGAGTGGATTATTGTATTTAATGCAAGAAATCATTAACCATCTTATACACGATTTTGATACACTTTTCATAGACAAAGCCATATAGTACTGTATTATTCATTCCTTGTTTTTCCCGAGAAACATTTTGAAAATGAACTCAGAATTTGAAAAAGAGCAACGACGTGAATGGTATGTAAATTTCAAATCATACAACATTGGAAGTGGAAAAAGAATTTTAAAAAAATACTGAGAAATTGGGAGAATATATCTAATAAGCGTATGAAACTGTAATCATTGGTAGATAAAATATAAAGTTTCCAGGCTAAAGTAGGTGCATATTATACAGAACAAAGACATGGAGAGTGCCACTTCTAACTCCAGTTTTAACTTTTATTTGTTCTCCCATCGTCAATGGGTCTGGCCTTTATGGCACCCAGTGGCGGCGCTAGCGGGAGGGGCGAGAAGGGCTTAAGCCTTCCCCACTGGACAGGTTAAGCCCCCCCCCCGGTCACACCCCCGTCAGGCAGAGCTCGCCGTGCAGTCAGACCATAAAACAAATTTTAAAAATGGGCCCACACCAAGCCAACATATTGTTTGTCCCAGTCTAATAGTGCCATTTCCGGCCATCCGGAAGTTGCTATTCTTAAAAAAAAATCTTATGTGGGAGGGGGGGGGGAAACCCCTTCCCAAACCCTTCCTCCAACTCAGGCCTACGAGCTCTAAAGTCCCCTAATCAGATAGCGCCCCCCCCCCAGAAAAAAATATATCCAAGAGCCGCCACTGGCGGCACCCAGTCTACTGTGTAATTTGTTGATGTTACGAAATGTATACTGTATTCGTTATTAAGTTTGATGCTTATGTATTTATATTCCAGTACGACTCCAAGTATAGCCTTTGAAGCTTTTAGAAACCCGTTTTTTTTTTTGTTGCAGCATGGCCGAAATAATTTGTTGAAAGGTCTTTCGTCATTGATTAAATGACAATATCATGCGATGCAGTGTGAGCGTTTTCCTTTCTGCGGGATGTCTGTTTACATAAAACCAGCCCTTCATGGAGACACGATAAAGGAAGAGACATTTATATAAGCAGTTATCACAACCTTGTTCGTTGCGGTCGGAAGACTGCAGCGAAATGCAGTAGGTTTAGCGAAGCGAGATTGCGCATGCGCTAGTAATTCCTTCAGACACTCTAATGAATAATTCATAAATTTTTACTCAACTTACCTACGATAAAAATAAATTCGCGTCCCAAACCTATGTGTTTACGTGCGTTCACACTCTCGTTCTGTGGGAACTTAGCAGGAACATCAAAGGGGCGGGGCTTGGGTCTGTCAGCACAAATAGGTCTACAGTATATAAACTAATTTTATTATGTTGTTAAAGAATACTGCTGTCAGGACAACCGTAGATGAATGCTATAGAGATAGGCGACAAAGACAACGGTCTCATAACAATCTACATATCATATAGTAATACACTTCATATCTGATTGCAGGTACTGTAGGCCTAATACAATATCTTGCACACTCGACTCAGTTGTTTGATTAACTGGAAATACATTACTGCTTCTGTAGACTGCAGTCCATTTCACTTGATCATCAATTCTAGAGGGCATATGAGTAGAACAGTCTGACACCGTAAAAACTATTTGACATTAGGCGTTAACGTGTGTAAACGTTTGCCATTCGAAGTACACTATTGACAGCCAAAAACACTGCAATGGGCTTGAATAATACCGATTGTGTGTTTTTCCATAATATGTCTGGATTTAACCCAAGTGATCTTCTATACACAGATTTGCAAGAAACCGTCACAGAAACGTTGATGCCGATCTTGTTGGTATTTGGTTTAATCACGAACTTCTCTTTCATACTCATGGTATATCGAGTACCAGACATGCGAATCACCATCAATTTGTATCTCGTGAGCCTTGCAGTGGCCGAGGCCTCATTTTTGATCACGAGCATCAGCGATAGGCTAGTTATTTATGCCACCTCTCCATTGTATGGGGACGTTGGAAATCGTGGTACTGCAGGTTGCATACTAACAAAATTCTTCATCTATACGTCTATTATTGCGGCACAACTACACATACTGGTATTAGCAGTTGAGCGATATTACTGTGTCTGTAGACCACTAAAAGCTCAAGTCAATCCACGGAAGAGAGCTATTCGTCTTCTGACAACTATCTGGTTGGTCTCTGCGATATATTCTATTAGCTTGTCACCCGCATTTGCCAATTTCAGGCTTTATTGCCTAGTTCATTGGGACAGCAAGTATGTAGATCCTCCAGAGACATACGGAATCTGTCTCTCTATTGGATACACAGACGAGACAACCGATATTGATAGTTTTCGTATTTATTTATATTCTACGCAATCATTTGCATTTTTTGCATCAGTAATAGTAAGTAACGTTCTATACGTACTGGTTTTACGGCACTTTCGTAGGAAGAGCGCATCTGTAGAAAATCGTGGGATGGCGCAGACGACACAATTCCGAAACATACAAATAAGAAAATACTTTAATCGCATGCTTTGCTTAAATGGTTTGGTTTACTTCGTCCTCTTTGCACCATTTAACATTTACTTTTTTTTTCAATTTGTGTATAAACTTAAAGGCCATAATAAACCTGTGGAGCCACACGTAAACGATATAATGAGCACTACATTTCGTCTTCTATTGTATATCAATTCTTGCATCAATCCACTGGTCTACGGTGCTTCCAACCCAAGATACCGAAAAGCCTTTGCAGTTGCGTGCTTAACTACAAGATTGTCTAAATGCGTAATTAAAAACGCTGGACAAAGTAGGCAAAGACCACCAACGAGTGACAAACCTAACACTCTGAACATGGAGAATCTCGCTACTGACAGCATGTAATAAAGAAAGTGCTAATGCAATTCCATTTTAGACTTCTGATGCTCTAGTTTCTTTGAAAGACAGTTAATACTGTACCACCTCCTTCCTTTCACATGGGGACCGCCAACGATTGCTAAAAAAAAGCTTAAAAAAACAAAAAACAAAACAGAGCAGAACAAAAGAACAAAAAACAATCTCACCATAGTGGATCTCTCTGCCTTCAACATGGATTGAAAATTGAAGGCCAAGCAGTCTCTAGATACATACGGTATGTCTAGTTGCCCACACCAAATACAACAAGAGAACCCCTCAAGACACTTGGGATATTCACGTCTATAACTTTTGCATGATTATGAATTTCTACATGTGATGGTTTTACGTCAGTTGCTCTGAGTAAAAAGCCTACGTCATCAGCAAACAGCAGAATTGTGTACGCAGACGAAATATATCAACAAATATCCGAAGGCAGCCCACTAATTGCGACAATACAATACTGAATCTTTAAAAATATAGAGAAAACAATAAAATCATGTTTTAAAGTTGTTGAACTTATGAATGACAATGTACCGAACAGTTTATCTCAGCTCTTCAAAAACAAAGAAAGTCCATAATTAATAGCACAAGCATCATACACTTCATACACCATTTGCTAGATTCTCTTTAAAACAGAAAACTATTATTTATTACGGTTCTGGACTTACCAAACGAAATTTGTAAATGTAATTCTCTCTTTTCATTTAGCGTCCTCTAAAATTATTTACTTCAGTTTACCCAGACCATACTTTTTGATGATTTTCTGATAATATTAATAATTGATGGTTTTTCTAATAATTATTATGTAGGTTACTGTGAGGGTAAAAAAATATGAAGTAGGCCTACATTTACTTTCTGTTGGCCTCACCACCTGGTTTCACCCAAATTCTGCCTTATTGTAATTATATATTATATATATATATATATATATATATTGTATCTAGTTAAATTTTTACAATTTAAAAGTTTTGCAATGTCGTAGGTGATTAGGATTTTTTTTTCATTTGTTGTTATGTCTGTTGAAAATTTTACAGTCATTTGTAGAAAAGTGATTACTACAATCCACAAATTACACCACAGTACCAAATCATCCAGGTCTTACATCCTAACGTAAAGTAGCATCATCAGATGAAGAATTGTTTACAATTTAAATATCATCGGCAGATAATAAGATAGCAGTAAAATTGAACTAAAATGATCAGTAAAAGCGGACCCTCAGTAACACCATAAAGAATGGGAAACCAATGTGAAGGCTGACCCTCAACAGGAATTCGCTGTCGTCTTCTCCTCACGTAAGACGATAGTAGTTGAAGTAAACTGCCATTAAAATATTTATGGAACTATGGAAAGTATGTCTATGGAACTGTTTGTAGTATGTTGCTCACAAGAATCGCTACCATGACAGCCGTAAATAAATGCCTTTAAGATAAATCATCTGGCCATCTATGCACGTCGACTCAGACGTCCAACAGTGCTTGATAAAAGCGTGCGGTACACTTGCTTACTTCTTCAGACCGCTATTTTACTTGAATTAAGTCTAATCAACTAGTAGGCCTACGCCGTATGCCGTGAAATATTTAATATTAAACGTTACTATTGTGTTTAAACATTTGTAATTCGTAGTTCGCTTTCGACATGAAACGCTGCAATGGGCTTGCAATATAGCGATTGTGTGTTTTTCCAAAATATGTCTCGAGCTAACACAAGCGATCTGTTATACACAAATTGGCAAGAAACGGCGACAATGATTTTGATGCCGATCTTGTTGGCATTTGGGTTAATCACTAACTTTTCTTTCATATTCATGGTATACCGAGTACCGGACATTACAATAAATATGTATCTTGATAGCCTTGCGGTGGCCGATGCCTAATTTGTGAACTCGAGCATCGGCGATAAGCTACTTCGTCATGGAACATGTCCATTGTTTGGAGATGACGGAAACCGTGGTACTGCTGGATGTATTAATAGTAATCTTCATCAATACGTCAGTATTTTTTTTTTGCAGAACTGCACATACTATTATTAGCTGTTAAGCGATATTACAGTGTCTGTAGGCCATTTGCAAGCTCATATATATCCACGGAAGCGAGCTATTCGTCTTTTGACAGCAATTTGGTTGCCATCAGCTTTACGCTACGCCTACATATGCAAATTACAGATTTTACTGCCTTCTTTATTGAGACAGTAAATATATAAATCCCCAGAGACATATGGAATCTGTCTACCTGTTTCTTTCACAGTAAATACCAGTGATGTTGACGGTAAGACTATCAAATTTTGCAATCGCCTGTGGTTTTTTACATCAGTAACAATAAGCAACGTTCTATACGTGTTCATTTTAAGCCGATTGCGTAGATGTAGCGCATCTTTAGAAAAACTTGTGGATGGAGCAGACGACACAATACCGAAATGGACAAATTAGACAACACCTTATTCGTATGCTTTGCTTCAACAGTTTGGTGTTTTTCCTCCTCTTGGCACCATTCAATATCAACTCGTTATTTTACTTCGTGTCGTATCTTAATGACTATAACAAAATCTTGGAGCCACACATAACGGCGATATTAGACACAGCATGTCGTCTTCTAGGAAACGTCAATTCCGGTATCAATCCACTGGTCTACAGTGCTTCCAACCCAAGGTATCGAAAGGACGTTGTGGTTGTGTGCTCGACTATGATATCATCTAATTGCGAAACTAAAAACGCTGGACAAAGTAGGCAAAGGCCGTCAACGAGTGGCAAAACAAACAATCTCACCATAGGTCACTAGTACCTTCAACATGGAATTAAAATGACTATTTAATTGATTTTAGAGTTCTGAAATCAAGCAGTCCCTTTCAGTACTGTATGTAATATCTACAATTAAATACATAATGAGGTGTGTCTAGTTGCCCACACGGACAACACGAACAACACTAGGGATATTGGCCTATACGAATAACTCCTGTGTATTCTAAAGTTCTGCAAGTGCTGATTTTACGTCAGTTGCATCTAAGTAGAAAGCCTACTTCATCATAAAGAAGCATAATGCCGGACGCAGACGACGTAATATCGGAAAAATATCTGAATGCAGTTACTCACACTATTTTCTACAATACATTACTGAATATTTACATAATCGAGATAAAACGCTAAAGAGAGACGGCAGGTCCGTATCATATTTCCATGTTCTCGAACTTACGAACGAAAATGTACCGAACAGCTATTTTCTCAGCTCTTCAAAAACAAAGTCTATAGCACAAGACTCATAAACTTCATATAACGTTTGCTCTCCTTCAGACAGAAGGAACTCTTGAACGGCTTACCCAACGGAATTTGTAAATGTAATTCTTTCTTTTCATATGACTTTCTTAAAAGAGTTATTTTCTTCAGTTTACATAAAGGACACTTGATATTGTTTTAATTTTCTGATATTGTAATTGTTTTCTGAAATTAAGTAGATTACTTTGATGGTCTTTCCCCGCGGGCCAACATATACAAAGTACATTACTTTCTCTTGACCTCGGGGCCTGGTTTTTATCCACAATCTGCCTTGTTGCAATTGTATATGTATTTCTTTGTACCTGGTTAATTTTGTAAAATTTGAAAGTTTTGCCATTTCGTAGGTGATTTTGGTTTTTTTCTTCATTTTTTGTTATGTCTGTTCAAAATTTAACAGCCACTTGGAGAAAATTGATTACTACAAGTAATGTATTACAAGTAGTGATTGATTACTACAGAATGGTGAGCCAGTACAGTATCGCCGTAATATTACACATGTGAAATCATACCAACAGAGAGACATAGAACACAATGATCATGTAAATAATACAGAAATTCCCACAACACTAGATGATTCCGACAGCGAAGAGCAACCTGCAAAAAATAACACTGATAGCAAGAAGTCATACCAGAACAATCAAACTTGACTTCTCGCCCTGTTCATGAAAAGAGGTTGCCTGTTAAATTCAAGGACTATGAACTTTATTAAATATATTAGTTCAGTGTTCATGTTTACAATGGCAATGAAGAAATTTCATGTTGAAGTGTTCATGCATGCTTGAAATATGTTAGTTTTAATGAAAATACTAACTTAATGTTTACAGCACAGTAGTCGTAGGTGCTTTAATTAATCAAGTGCATGTTGATTTTTTGATCAGAAAAACAATATGGATTTAGATAATGATTAGAGACTGATTCGAAATTAAGGTGTTCAGTAATTATTAGCATGATCATAGGGAAAAAAATAATGAAGTTAAAGTTGCATGTTGTAAATTTTAATACTTGTAAACTATAGATAGAAAAGAAAATTTTTATTTTAAAAGGCAAAAGAGAGTAAGTTTTAAAAGATGAAAGTTTTATTTTAAAGAAATGAGGAATTGCAGTATCTACAAAAGTTAAGTTGACCTTTTGACCTGTGATTGGATATCATGAAAGTTAGTTGTTAGAGTACCTTACCACAGTGTGTGAGTCGTTGATTGTGCTCTCGTGTTTTATCCGTTATTAAGTGTTTCAATTCGTATATAATACACTACACAATTAAATCGTAATTTTACTCAATTAGGCCCCTCCATTGTAGGTTAGATGCGTCTGACTAATATTATTTTCAATATTACGAGCCAAAAATATAGGCCCACTGTTCCAACTCCCAATGTAACTATTCCAACTCTTGCTATTGCATACCGCTAGTGCAGTGTTTGTCGTGTCGGGAAAGTGCATTCTTTCAGTTAGTCATTATATTTATGGGTGCGTGCTGGTATATTATCTGTGTGTACGTGATGTGTATATGCACATGTATAGTCCATATCTTGTTTTAGAGTATAAGCCTATTTATCTAGCCGAATAATAAATAAGACTCTTTTGAATCTTTCATCTTCCAAATGGAATCTTGATCTGTGAGATCTAGCCGAGAAATTAGAATCTCCTGAATATCTCGAAACTAGAATTATTGGTAAATGTTTCATGAGATATCTTTTCAAATGATGAAATTATTCATAGTTATTAT